AACAATCTGCTCTGAGATGATGATCTTCACTCCAAGGATGAAATCCAAGCTTGATTGATGAAACCCAGCTCCAAAATCACCTCTAGGGTGTGTTCTTCACACTTTCTCTCTCTAGGACTCTGCTTCTAGCTCTGAAAATTGATCCCCTCTTCAAAAGACCCGAAATTGGTTTAAAACCCAGAATTTCCCGACTACACGGTCAGGCCACACGGCCGTGTAGAATTTCCAGCTGCCCGTGTGGAAGTGCAAAACGCCGCATTTCACATAAGTGGCTTCATGCACACTGCACGCCGTGTGAAATCTCGGCCTGCTCGTGTGAAGGTCTCGGTGATTTCCACACGGCCACAAGGGGTCCATTACACGGCCAGTGCGGTTTGCCAGCGCAAAAGGATTCCACACGGCCACGCCACACGGTCGTGTGGTTTTTAGGTCTGGCCGTGTGGTTTCCCCGCTTCCTGTCAATCGTTCCAACTCCGTCCAATCGACCCCGAACTCGTGCCCGAACCTTCCCTCGTCATACTTTCCCTCTCTTTCTCAAAAAATATCTGGCTATCATTGAGAATCCGCAACAAGTCATGGCGTTAGTGGTTGTATTATGGCGGATTTGGAAATCTCGTAACTGGGTTGTCTTTGAAGACAAACAGTTCGGGATTCGAGCTCTGATGAGGCAATACTATCAGCAGTTGTATTAGTGGAGTAATCTGCCTAAGGACAAGGTGGTGAGTACCCTTGTGTCTGGGGTGGGCGATGCGCAGCCAGCCAGCCCTGGTTCCTTAGTCTGTAGTTGGGATGGAGTGACGAGATGTGGGTCTCATTCAGTGGGAGGTATGGTGCTCCTAGACCAGGGTGGGTAGGTCATCTTCGTTACAGTTGTTCATTTCCCAGTGATAGACGACCCCATGATCGTGGAACTCTCTGTCACAAAAAATGGTTGCAGGCATCCCATGGTATCTGAAAACGCCATCGAAGAATAGCAATGCCACTTCAGCTGCTGTGTATGGGTGCTTGAGGCTGAAGAAATGTGCAGCTTTGGTGAATCTATCAACAACCACCAAGAGAACCTTTTTGCCTTGAGAAGGCGGCAACCCTTCCATGAAATCCATACTAACATCACGCTATGCTTGAGAGGGAATGTGAAGTTGCTGCAAGAGACCCGGTGAAGCAAAGGTTTCTGCCTTGCAACGCTGGCAAACATCACAGGCTGCCACCCAAGCCACTACTGCTGCCTTCATTCCCCTCCAGCAGAAGTGACCCTTAAGACGCTGATATGTTACTTGAGCACCCGAATGACCACCTACTGGAGAAGAATGAAGAGCTGAATAAGTTTGGCTCGCAAATGCCCAAAATTCACCACCACAATGGCGCCCCTGTAACGCAATATTCCCGAAGAAAAAGACCACAAAGAGGGACCCTGCGAATTAACAGCAGCTGCAGCTATCAAATCATGGACCTCATCATCATTTTTGTAGGTCTGCTCGATCTCTACTAACCATTCCGGCATAACTGTGGTCAGGGCATTGCAACTTCCTCCTGCCTCCCTATCTTTGAAAAGAAGAGACAAAGCATCAACAACTCCATTAAAGCGTCCCTTGCGATATTTAATCTGGAAGTCAAGTCCCATAAACTTAACCAAACCTTTTTTTTAATCGTCGTGTGAACTTTCTGGCCAAGCAAGAATTTTAGGCTCTCGTGGTTAGTAACAATTGTGAAAGGTCTGCCTTCGAGATACTGGCGCCAGTGGTCGACAGCCATCAATAAAGCCAGGTATTCCTTCTCGTACGTGCTTAATCCCTGGTTTCTCACACCCAACGACTTACTGAAATAAGCCAGAGGCATGCCTCCTTGTGACAAGACAGCCCGTACCCCTGTACCACAAGTATCCGTTTCCAGGACAAAAGGCAGATCGAAGTTGGAAAGAGCCAAAACAGGAGCCTCACCCATAGCCGACTTGAGGGTAGTGAAAGCTTGTTCAACTACTTCATTCCAAAAGGAAACCATTCTTCGCCAGTAACTCAGTCAAAGCCCTGCTAATAGTTCCATACTGCTTCAAAAATTTGCGGTAGTATCCTATTAAACCCAGGAATCCCCTTATCCCCTTAACATAAGTAGGTCGTGGCCAAGAATGCATTGCAACCACCTTGCTGGAATCCGTAGATACACCTTCCTCACTGATTACATGCCCCAAATATTCAATCTTTGACTGCCAAAAAGAGCACTTTGAAGCTTTGGCATACAACCGATGATCACGAAGAAGCTGTAGAGCAATAGACAGATGCTGATAATGATCTTGGGCAGTTTTACTGTACACAAGAATATCATCGAAGAAGACTAATATGAATCGCCTCAGATGCTTGCCAAAAACATGGTTCCATAACGCTTAAAAAGTGGCTGGAGCGTTGGTTACCCCAAAGGGCATCACCCTAAACTCGTAGTGGCCCTGGTGAGTGCGAAACACTGTCTTGTACTAGTCTTCAGGATGCATCCTTATTTGATGATAGCATGCTCGAAAATCCAATTTAGAAAACATGACAGAACCTTGAAGTTCATCCAATAAATCCTCAATATGTGGTATGGGAAATTTGTCCTTGACTGTAACAGAGTTCAGCTCTCTATAATCAACACAGAATCGCCAACAGGGGCGGAGCTAAGATTTCAAGATCGGGGGGGGGGGGGGGGGGGGGGGGCGAAAATAATTAAATAAAAAAAGTATGATTATTTTAGAAGTTTTACTTCATTCTTTCTAAAGTTGTAGTAGCATCCCACTAGGTTTTGGGACTTGGAATTAATTAAACTAATTAAAAAGAGGTGGCCTTTTATTTGTACTCTCTCATAATAAATGGGGAGTTTCCTTTTGATTTGGGGAATTGTAGAGAGGGTAAAGCAGAATAAATGAAAGATGTGGTCCCGTGGATCGAACCCATGTACCCGAAAACACAAGTAAAGTTTGATTTCCATTAGACCACATATCTATATGGTCAAAAGGACGAGGGGTGGGAGAGTAGCATGAATAGCAAACACATATGCATACTGAGTGATTAATGGTTGCAAGAATGGAGGAGTAGGACTGGATTCAGGAAGGGGTTCAATGGAAAAAACATCCCCTATGAGATGAGCAAAGGGTTTCTTAAGGAATTGCTGGAAATTGCGGCCTGACATCATCTGACATTGGCCATCCTTAGAGAGCCCTTGCAGAGTCAAGGTTTTACCCTTCCAATCAAACGCCAACTGCCACTTTTTAATATCTACCTGGAAAGGACTAATGGTTTCTAGCCAATCCCACCCTAATACCAAATCATGAGAAGGCAGATCCAAGGTTCTAACATCAAAACCAAACTCCTAACCCTGCATTTTCCAGTTGAACCCTCTACACACATAATTACTTAGCAAGGTATGACCACTTGCCACTTTCACACGCATAGGTGCAATACTCTCGGTTTGACAATTCAATTCTTTAGCCTTAATTGAATTCAGAAAAGTATGCGAGCTACCAGTATCGATCAGGACAGTAGTTACCTTACTTCTCCCTGACTATTCTGGAATTAGCAAGGAATTGCCCGTGTACCCTGATCCCATTGCTTGCAATGAAACCTCCAGCTCCGCATCCTGGAACTCCTCGTTGTGCTCACCCTCTTCGCTAGGAAATAGAGTATCGTCGGCTTGCATAACCTGAAGTTGTTTCTTCTTGGCGCAAACATGACCATGGAAGTATTTATCCCCACATTTATAACAGATCCCTTGCCCTCTCGGAACGGTAGATCGGTCAGACGAGGAAGAAGGGGCTTCCTTCGGAAAAGATCTGGGAAACGTCGGTGGCGAAGTAGCCGGCCCACGACTGGTAGAAGCAGCTCGCGTCTTCCTCTTCCTTGCTCAATTGCAGACTCTTCTAAACGAGCTTGATAGAAGGCACAAGCCAGAGTTGGCGGATTGAGAACCTGGACTCGCGGCTGAATCTCGTCATCCAGACCACCTAAGAAGCTGAGAATGAAATATTGCTCATTGAGCTCTGGATTCAGGCGAAGCATACGCGAACGGAGTTCTTCAAACTCCTCCTGGTAATGAGAAACAGAACTCGTCTGCCAGAGATGATTGAAGTACGCCACCACATTCAGCCGTTCCTGGTCATCGAATCGGTGAAGCAACTCCTCGACAAACTGCCCCCAAATCAACGGAAATCGACGGAGTGACCACCCCTCGAACCAAGTGTACGCGCGTCCCTCCATATAGTAAGAAACCGATTCCACCTTCTGCTCCTATGGAATTGAATAGAGCTTGAAAAGCTTGATGCATTTGCTCACCCACACATAAGGTTACGAGCCAGAAAAGTAATAAAATTACAATCGCGGATAGTGATCCAGAAGCGACGGACGATGCTGCTGCTGACGGAAGTGTTGGTGATCGGAAAAAAGGACCGGAATTGTTGTGCGGCGGCGAGCGAACCGGCGATTTCTCCCGCAACCGATGGATGGAAGTCGTAAGAGCGTCAATATTCTCCTTCGTCGAGGCCGCCAAAGCAACAATTATTTCTTTAAGATCTTGGTGCTGAGAGTTGAGCTGCGATTGAACCGCTGCCATTTGAGTCTCCAAATCCACGATGTGCGAAGTGTTCGTCGCCATTGCCAGAGTTTAGGTCTCTGATACCACCTGTAAGAATCGAATGGGGGAGAATTTGGTGATTTGGATTAGGAGAAGAGAAATGGTACAAGGGAGAAGAAGAGTTCTGGATTTCTATCTAACTAACAGAAATTGGTAAAGCTATTACAATTGTTCTCATTGGGTAAAAGTTGACCAATCGTAAATGAAGAATGAGTATTTATACTCCTGCTACACTTTACACGTCACTCTTGCCAGCTGTGCAGGTTGTTACAGCTATGTTAATTTTACGCAAACGGAAGCAAAATTTTCACAGGAAACCGATTTGGAAATTCAAATTCTTTTCATCTCCATCAACAGTGTCAATTGGGTTCAGTTTTCCCCGACGCAATCCATGCGAATTCAGATACTTGAGCAGCTACGGGACGGTGAAACTGGTGATATCGGATGGGAAGCTCAAGTTCGAGACTCGCGAGGTTGAAATTGCTGACCAAAAAAAGATTGCAAAGGAAGAGGGAAAAGCTGCTAATAGGAAACACCCTCGTTCCCTCAATGTGAAGAGGGACAGGAAGAGAGATTTGCTGATGCAGAAGAGAGAATCAAGTACAAGCTTAAGCGGGTGAGTTTTGATCGACTTCCAGTTTCTCTTTTCGCTCAAAACTCTGATGGTAATGCCGTTATGAGTGTGTGTTTAGGTAAGCATTTGGCAAAATATGGTGGCTTTGAATCTGGTTTCACTAATTGTTTGGTGGGTTGGTTCTCTTAATGCTATTGAACAAACATACATGCAAGAATGAAGGAGGCAACGCTAATTGAGAGACTTAAAAGGTACGAAGTCCCCAAGGCTCAAGGTCCTGAGGTCAGACCACATAAGCTCACCGGCGAAGAACGGTTTTTCCTGAAGAAAGTGGCTCAGAAGAAGTCGAATTACGTACCCATTGCCCGGAGAGGAGTGTTCGGAGGTGTTATTCTCAATATGCATATGCATTGGAAGAAGCATGAGACTGTGAAGGTTATTTGCAAGCCGTGCAAACCTGGTCAGGACAGGTTCATGAGTTTGCTCAGGAGATTGCAAGACTGAGCATATACTTGGAGATGATACCATTGTGTTCTACAGAGTACAGAGGGAAGAAGTATATGCAGCTTGAAGTTATGTCACCAATTGACACATTGTCAAAGAAAAAGGTGGGCAGTGTTGTTTTGCATTCGGAGATTTCCACTTGATATTGCTTGTGTCTGTTTGATTGCTCTTCAGATGCATCAGGACTTGGGAACCTCTTTGCCACCACCATGAATGTAAGTTAAAAACTATGAAAGCAAGCTGCCGATAGCTGATTTGTCAGAAACACATTTATTTGGGGTTTCTATTATTATATTATATTAGGTAGGATAATTATAATTATGGTTAGTAGAGATTTAGTCGTATTAGGATTATTATTACGGTTTCCAGTATTTTCCTATAAATATGTACTTTGGGTTTACGTCATAAGGATTCAAGAAGAATATTAAGAAGAATCTCTTAAACCTTAGTTTCTCCTCTCAACTCCTAATTTCTATTCTCTCCTAATCCAAGGCCTCGGCTGATTCCCAATTCTATTATGTTCTTTCTCATCTAAATCCCTAATTTCTTATCCCGATCCCTAATTCCCTCTTTGTTACGTATAATCACGGGTGCCGAAGATTAGTCCCTAGAGACCCTAGAAGCGGGTTTCTCTCATGATTTCACCTCAAATTCTTTTTGCATGCGCTGGAAAAATCAAAGTACGAGCAATCACTCGAGTCTGTCAGACGCTTCATTGCTATAGCTGAGAAGGAACTCGAGCTCTACTACAGGCATATCGCAGTTCAGTGTTCGGTTAACATGGTGTGATTTATCGGCTGGCGGGGTTTCAATCTGCAATGATAAAGAGTGAATCCTGTATATACCTTTTCTACAGCAATCATTCATCCAGAGAGGTCCTTTTTTCCTGCAGGAATATGACCACAATGGTAAAACAGGAGAATAGTTGTTTCCCTAGGCACACACTAGTGTTAATATAAACGAACTACAACAGCGATCTAAGTGCAGCCCATAAACTCTTCTAGTAGTCTTGTAGCCATCGGCAGGCTTTCTATTCCCAGAGAAGAATGGTAAAGATGCTAATCACTTCTGAACAACTAATACGAGAAAAAAGTGCATGAAAGTTTGGTTATTGAAACAACAGAAACAGAATTTTCCCTTTTGACTGGACTGACTGGGTCAATTAAAAAGTTTACATCGATCCTACATTTTATTTTCTACTAGAATCAACACCCGCGGCTATGCCGCAGGGACTATTTCGATATTCTAATTAAGCGGGGTGAATTCAATTCTCTTTTGCCTGTAGATTTTTTTTAATTGGGAGGAGGCATAAAGCCAGGGGGATAAACCAAAGAGTTACAGGTGAACACAGCAATGCCCCGGAACAGAAGCTGGGACGTGCTTTTTATAGCTAATCAAAAGCAAAAACACATCTACACAGGAGGTAATTTCCATTAGTCATCATGTATCGATCACCACCTATCTCGGAAAGCTGACTCCAATGATGTCCTCCCGAAGCGTTCTCTCCAGTTCCCGTGGAAGTTCAGTTAGCTCATACGTACCAAAGGGATAGACAAGACTGTGCTTCGAGAGCCAGTCCGCGACTCGATTCCCTTCACGATACGTATGCACCAATCGACTGTAGATTAAATTTACTCACAGAACATAATTCTGAACACATTAAGTTCCTTCACAACTTCCTACCAAAAAAAATTCCTTCAAAACATGTATCATAAAACTCGTATTAATTTAGTCTAGTGCATTATACTTCCACGTTTAGTATACATCTTTGCTCTTTTCGGTTTATCTTGCAATGAAACATTTGCTATTATTTGGGGAAAATTGGAGCAGACAAAATCAGGAAAGAAAAATTATTGGATCTAATTATTAACTCCTTAAATCACTAAAACCATACCCGCCCCATACCCATCAAACATTTTGCGGGTTTTACCCATACCCGCCCCATACCCGGTCAAGGCGGGGATTCCCCGCGTTGACTGGGTATGGGGCGGTCGGGTACCCGCGGCCATGGGTTTGATTGCCATCCCTACTTTTGACGGCAGTGACTGCAACTTAAAAGACAAAAAGGTGCTCCATATCAAATTTCTCTTTTCCTTCTTACCCTTTCTCCAAAAGTCCATCCTCTTTTGATTTGTTAAGATAGTTGGGACTACACATGTGACCATGTACGTCGAAGAAAGGGTATATTAACAACGAAAGAACAAATAATAATCAAAGTTGTAACACCGAAGTGCCAAATCGAAATATCATATGAGAATTGAGAATGATTAGGAGGTTGTGAATTATTATATCAATCATCAAATGGTGGCTGTAAGTCTAAAATTGATTCATAACTACAACATCAAACAATTAGTCTAATTAACTAATCATCCACAGTTACTAAACCATAACCAATTGCTGCCTTTTGACCTTCTGCCTCTGCAACTGAGTATCTCACCTCCATTTCTTTCAATTCCTTTCCTTGGTCTGTGCCCACCTCATCGAGCATTTTTGTCAGGTTGCAGTTGCCAAGTAGGTGCTTTGTGCATCTATGTTGTCCTGTAGAAACAAAATTTGAGGCTGTTACTAATGAGAGAACTATGGGAAGCTTCAAGTTGGACATGAGGGAAAGTTAGTTGGGGAGGAAGTGCAACCAACATAACCGCGACAACAACTAACAGACAACAACAACAAAATTATAACAGAACAACAGCATAATTACAGCAACATCAAAAAGTGCAGAAGAAGAAGCAGAATTACGGCAGCAGGAAAAACAAAGTGCAGCAACAGAAGAAAAATTACAGCAGTAGTTGAAAGAAAGTGCAGTAGCGCTGAAACAAAAGAAGCATGCAAGAAAAGGATTTTGCGTATAAAGCAACAATTGATGAATGACCATCCCCTAGCTTGCAGAAATGGATTATGAATAAAATTATCTACTACCAAGTACCAACACCCAACCAACCTGTTTAGAGAAGACAAAAATCAAAACTCTGAATGGTTGTTCATATATTCCCTTCAAGTCCCTTCAAGCAAGGAAGTGCAAAGCCTATTTTGTGTGTTATCTGCTGTCCACAGAAGGTGGTTTACCAACATAACATTCATGGTTTCCCATTTTGCATGTCAGGTTGTGTGGAAGTGTACAAAGTCTACTGATTTTGAACCATTGGCTACTGAAGATCAAAGAGAAACGAAAGGATAGGGCCCTCTCAACGTAATACACACCAAGATCTAAAACAACCAAACTTTATCAGAGCAAAATAAAAGAGTATGTGAATAAAAAGATTCAACATTTCAATTTACAATCTGATATCCCCTGAGATTTATTTTGGTAATGGAAATGTCTAAATTTGTAAAAGCAGTTCGATCATAACCTGATAAAGAAGTCCTACATATCTTGGAGGTGGTTCAAAAGGTACATAGAAGACCCATATTATTCTGCTTGCAGCAGTTGCAATGAGCCAAACGATCTCTTAATCTCTCGATACATGTAACGATTATGCTTTGGACCTTTATGGTCATCTTCAGAAGCACCTACTTCTGCAATTTCCAAAAGGTGACCAGTCTCCTTAATTTAAATCTTAAGCTCTTGCTCAAACAAGGAAAAACCATTTGACTCCCTAGAATCATATTCAAAATTGCATAGGCAAGAATACTGAGCTTTTGTGATGACACCAAGCAAAGCCCATCATACACCAAACAACGCGACCAACACATGAAGTAATTTATTTGGAACTTGTTCTTATATATTCAGAAATGGGACAAAGCAAATCACCAAATAGAAATATGTAACTGGAAACAGAACGTGAAAACCCAACCTAAGATCCATAATATTTTAGTGGATTAAAAAACTTGTCTACGCACGATTGGTCTTCACATAAAACGATTTTTATTCCTTCTTCCACCTCTCCTTCTTCCTCTGCATTTCATTTCATTCATTCTAGAGAAATAGAAACAGCAGCAGAAGTAGAAGTAGTGTTGGGAAAAGGAAGTACCAGGTTTTCGAAGCTCAAGCGAGGAACCAAGAAAATGGCGGTGGCTTTTTGCGCGTCTTTCTCCTCCTCTACCAAGTCTTGTGCTTCACCACTTCCTTCCTCCAGCACTTGTTCTCCCTCTCTCACTCTAAGTCACTTAGTCTTGATCTTTCTTCTTCTACTGCTAAGCTGCTGTAGCATTCTCCAAGTCTTCTCCTAATGAAGTTTTTTTGTTAGTAAGGAAGTTTAACATATAATGGTGGCAATGGCATAATATGGTATCTATGTTTCAGAAAAGCATAGCAAAGTCAAAGCAATTCATTAGGAGCCCTCCAATAGGTACTTCATTCCAGTTTCGAGTTTCGACAATGTAAACAAATGCTGGTGGTTACTTCACTGCTGTTCAACCCACACTATGGGCTCTTTTGCCCATCTCTTTTTACAGTGTTCAGCATTTGCCACAAACTTGTGTTCATTACACTAACAAATATCAGAAAGATGAGAAAAGAACTTAACAGATTTTCAATCTAAAGAGCGGCCAAAAGAATAATCAAAGCAATTCAATAATAGTTGTGTAATTACTGTATAAGCTATACCTAAGCCCATGGATCATCCCATCCTTTTGGGTCACCTCCACTGATGAAATCCATGATTGCCTTCCAACCTGATCAACTCTATTTGAAAGTGATTGATTCCCATGCTCGATTTCAACTTTATCTGCCCCTCCCTCCTCATCTCGCAATGGACAAAATAAGGTCTTAACTAAAGACAGGAAGCAAATTTGAGAAATTGCAGAAGAATCAAAGGGAACTCCCATATTCCGGAGAAAGTGATCCAGCCGGAAGTAGATTCCACAATTGTGGCGCTGCTTTCATATTTGCAGGAAGGTGTTGGAGTCGAAGCTCCAAGAAGAAGACATCGAAGAGAACCCCGTCGCAGTTGCTCCTCCCCGGCGTAAATGGTGGATTCTCACTCTCTATGGAGTTTGGAAGATTGAGGAAGGATAAAAGTTATTGGGGTATGGGATTGATTAAAGCCAAGAAGGGAGAGATGAAGAACTGAATTGAAGTTGTAGACGAAAAAAGAAAAATCGATGGAGAGAAGAGAGAAGTCCACACTCAAAGAGTAAGAGCCAATATAGAAAAATCATGGTAGGAGGCGTGTTGGAGTAGGTTATGCAGAGGTTGCAACATCGAGAAGCAAACCAGCAGAGGATGGGAGATGACTGAAGCGTGGCGATTGCGGATTTTGGGGGTGAGACGGAGATACGAAAAGCATGGCCACCTCTAATGATGATGCAATGTGGCAGAGACTTTTCTGTTCTTTGACAGTGGACATACGCTGTTGGGCAAGGGAATGGCTTCTGGTCACATAAAAATAAAGGCTTGCGGATTTTGGAGTAATGTCGCAAAGGAAGGCAGGGTCGACTGCTGCGAAACAGGGAAGGTACTATTGCGTGGGAAGCTGTATATTAGAAGAATAGAAGCCCTTTTTCTCGTTGCTCACAAAACGTTAAGGAGTGAAACAGTGTTAAGAAAGTAGGGAGGAACCCAGCTTTCATGTTTTATATAATATAATAATAAGCCATTGTTGACACATCTAGAATCATAAACAGAAACGGTAAAAGCTTGGAGACATTACTAGTCTTTAGGAGAGGCTTTGGGTTCGTCGCACTATTAGGAGATCTTGAGATCTGGTGCCGCTTACAACAATTCTTGTTCTACATTATCTGAAGGAGACTTCAAGGTTTAGACCTTCTATCTGTCTACAAACTGCCTACACATGATGCTCTCTCAAGATTCTTCAGTGGCCTCTGAGTATTGAGAATGAGAAGCAGCCAAGAGCGCTGCGCCGATGCCAGAGCCATCGTTTGAGAGCTCGATGGTTACACTCTCTGAAACTTCATCTCCAAGCAATTCAGTTAGAGTGGCTTTCAAGCAGTCTCTAAACTTTGCGTAATGCTCGAACAACCCGCCATCTAATGCTATCACCGACTTCTTCTCGTCCCCTTTTTGAACTGTGTCTCTTCCAACTTTCTTGAGGATGCCGAAAATCCCAGCAGCTGATAGACGGGCTCCACGGGTGGCAATAGTGTCGCAGAGCTCGACAATGAGCTCTCTTGTTTCCAAGGAAGTATTTGATATCTGGACAAAACATCAAGGGTAAGAGAGAATATGAAGTATATCAGATAGTGGATTGCATAATAAACTAATAAAGCCATTGAATCCTGAAGTTCTTTTTATTTATTTATCAGAGGATCCTAAAGTTCATAATTCAGAAGTGAAAGAAATATTATGCAATTCCCATAGTCATACAGCTCGGTACCTAAATTTCTATTTTAAGATACCAATCCACCACTGTCATGATACCATTTAGTACTGAAATGTAAAAACTTTATCTAATAGGGCTTCAAAGTGACAAAATCGCCGAAATATCCTCCAAACCACGCCAGATTTTCAACAGAGTGTCATGATTCGACCACCTACCATCCCCGCCAACTCCTATTAACCAAACTCACAAACCTGTGAACCCACCAACCCAACCCATATGCTACCCCTAATAACTGCCATTAGGATTGTGTCGCAGACTATATACTGAAGTTCAAATATGAGACACAGTTTGATTGTTGGGTATACTGGCGTCTGGCAATTCTAACTTCCCCGTTTCCTCAAAGGAAATAAAAACACGGCATGGTAAAAGCCTTCAATAAGAAATGTACCTCGAAGACTTCTTTTAGTTTGCTTCCAACAACTGTTAAATCTGGTGAGGTATCGTGATGCACCGCTGACATGACTGGAGTCCTGAATGCACAACACCAGAGCCACCAATCAGTAATCAATGAAGGAATTCACGTCAAAGGTTCATTACTTTAGCTTAAGTGACCTTAAATGCATACCTCAAGATGAATGGAGACATCAATTTTGGAGGAACAACATCACCAAACAAGGCAGCTTCTTCAGCCATCTTTAGTAGAACCCTGCGCAAGATTTCTCCTAAATACATACCAGATATCACCTTTTCAAAAATCTGCAAGACAACAAAGGAAGTCTTTATGAGCATGGTTCAGACTATAATCAAGTCAATCTTGAAATGGGATGAAGGAAAAGAAAAGGTTAAACTGACCTGATCTCCAGGATTCAAGGACTCAATATCCAGGGCTTTATCATATTCTGTCAACGGAAGGTGTGGAGAGTGGAAACTACCCCATTCCATGTTGATAACCTTGTATCATAAAAGCATTGCCTGTTTAGTTCCATAAAACTTGTAATTACAGCAGTAACAAGTAAATAGCTTTGGATAATAAGACAGACCATTTCGCCAGACTTAGGTACAACACCCTGCATCTTTGGAATAGCATTTGCTCGTTCTACATATGCCGCATTTGTTCCAGTACCCAATATCACAGCTGCAATGACAGCTGGGTTATTATACCTTCCTCCAGCCAATGTTCCAATTGTATCATTCACCTACAACCAGTAAAAAGACAATGCCAGCCAATGACAGAAAAACTGAGCTATACATCATCAAATTACTTTCTGAACATAAACTGACTGCCCAATTCCATTCCAAACACGAGTCGCTTACCAAAGCTGCCACGCGCATGTCAACGCCGAATCTTTCCATGGCTTTCGTCAGATGGGCCACAACATCTTGTCCAACCTAATGCCCAGGATTGGGGAAAAATTTATCAACCGAAACCCACAAAAATACAAAAGGAGAGCTAGGAAGGGAACTTTTAGCTTATGTCAGCGAACTGGACCATTGTTCTGCCATCCATTACTAGTAATTAAACACAAACGTAATAGTAGCAAGGAGATCAGGCACAAAGGAAGCAAGACCAAATGCATCTCAAACTATGGCAGCACCAACCAAAAATCAATGTTCTAAAAGGATTACAGCAGCAGAATCAAACAAACAAGTTTATGGTTTTTGTACCGTGTCATCAATGGAGAACCCTTTTGTCCATTTGATAAGATTGCCCGATGATATCGATGTCTGATTGACTGGAAACGAGAATGTAAAACCCAGTTCTCTTTGCCTACCAGGAGATAGCCGCATATCTTCCCCTTCCGTATCAACAAATATCTTCAGAGCTTGAGCAATGAAATCGAACAATTCCTGTATAAAAAGGCCCCAAACTCCACAATCAGAATGTTGCAGACAGAGAAACCAGAAAGAAACCCAACTCCCCAAATGAAATATACTCACATCTGAAGTTGCAGTCATGACGTGTGGCGGAATGGAGACCTCTACTGATTCTTGTTTGACCACTCGCTCTTCTTGCCCGCCCAACACCACTCTCATCACCCGGAAATTCGTACCACCAAGATCCAACGCATAAAACAACCCTTTCTCATCTCTACAGTAAAAAAAATTTGAAATCCAATCGTACCCAGATGAACAAAAATCAGAGAAGAAAGCCAAAAACATGGGAAATCGGTTTGATACCCAGTGGGGAGATTGTCGACGTAGCTAACGAGCATCTTGAGCTTGCTGCCGCCGTTCAACGACAGCCCGGCGTGCATCTCGTCAGCCATAGCCTCGGCGAGCTTCTGCAGCTTCACCATCGGCGTCGCACACTTGCGCTGGAACGCATCAGCAATCGCCCTCGCCTTCTCCCGCCGCCGGCTCTGCCTCCTCCGGCGGACCAACACATCCGCAGCCGCAGCAGCGGCGCAAACCGCCGCCGCCCCGGCCACCGCTGCAACAACCACCGCCTCCTTCTTCATTTTCACCGCCCACCCACCTACCAAATCTCTCTCTCAGCTCTGCTTCCCTTCCCCTCGTGAATTTCAGTGACGTCAAATATTGTGGCTCGGGCTCTGTGGATTTAGAAAATGTCGTGATTTTTGTAGAGATATATATCTCTCTGAGAATCTGGGGGCAGGCTAAGGCGCAGGCAGTAGGCGCAGGCAGAATCATCATCAGCGGAAATTTAGAGAAAATATATAAATTCTTGCAGAGTCGATATCGGTCAGACGGCGACTGGGCCGAGAAAGAGACAGAATAGAGAATATATATCATATAAAACAAAAACGATAAATCAGTCATTTTCATGGTTGTTATACTTAGGGATGGCAATCAAACCTAGGGCTGGGCATGCGGGCGGATCATCCGCGGGTTTGGGCCGACTCACCCGCATTTGACCCGAATTTTGTTAAGTGGATGGGTCTGTGGGTGGGTGACGGGTTGCGCTGGGAGCCATCCGCCGGGTGGTGGGTGGGTTGTGGGTGAGTGTGCGGGTGACCCGCTCAACCCAACAGCAAAAAGATCAAAGTCGTTGGCGCTAGAGAGGGGAGAGTGGAGACGTTAGATATAAATTTGGACTACTCCTGGAGTTTGAACCTCAAAGCCAACCTTCCAAATAGAGATCCACTCTTCTTCCCTTTACCTTTTCCTCTAATTCTTGTGCCTAGATCACCGCTCTTTCCTTTGTGGAATTATTTTCCTTAGTTCCTTGCACCTAATAATCGTCTCAATCTGTAGAAAACTCTTTCATAATAGAATTTCTATCAAATTTAAGAACTAATTCGACATTTTTCGTCCTATTTCAACTTCTTGTTTCCCTCGATGATTCTCTTCACCTATTATCATGTCAAGTTGACTCCTTTATATTATATACATTGTGATGTGGGTGAACCCACAAACCCACCCGCATCATCCACCATCCGCCCGACCCAACCCGAGACTAAATGTGGGTGGGTGGTGGGTTAAAAATTATCAATCCGTTTAAGCACGGGTGGGTGCATTTTATGGTCAAAATCCACCCGACCCACCCAATGCCCACCCCTAATCAAACCCATGCCCACGGGTATCCGACCGCCCCCGACCCAGTCAACGCGGGGAATCCCCGCTTTGACTGGGTATGGGGCGGGTATGGGTAAAACCCGCAAAATGTTTGATGGGTATGAGGCGGGTATGGTTTTAGCTTCCCCCGCCCCATACCCATACCCATACCCGCCCCACCAAGAATATTTGTTCACATATAAAAAATACATGGATGAAATAGTAATCTATCAATGATAGTGAGGGTAAATAAAAAAATAATTAGTAGAAATACAATTGAGTGGTCACCCAAATCAAAACCTAATTCATTTTCCTCAACTCTCTCTTCACTCTTTCACTTTTCCCTCGTGTTAGCAAGATTATATTAGTTCATTATTGCTTAGTATATGTATTAGAGTCAGATAAATAATGATTTGGATTACATTGTAGTACTCTATTTTATGGATTTTGGATAAAATGCTTTGAACCATATTAAGAATTATTGTCACTTTCTCGACTTCATGATATAATAGGTGCCTATAATGTTATAATTGAAAATTTACATGTAAAATTTTATGTATTATAATGTTGGATGTACGGGGCGGGTATTACCCATGGGTACCCGAAACCCACGCGTATGGGGATGGGTTTGCAAAATCTTCCCCCGCATGGGTATGGGGCGGGTATGGGTTTGGATATTTGAAAGCGGGGATGGGGATGGTTGAGGCAAACCCGCCCCATTGCCATCCCTAGTTATACTTCTATCGGTCAGCCGGTTGAACCAGATTTTATTAGAATTGGGTTCTGGATCATGGGTTAGATAGGTTTTTTTATGAGATGTGAGTTTCTAATAGATACTAAATTTCATTCCACTAATTTAAATTTTATATTACTATCTTATTTCTATATATATTTAGAAAAAGTATAAAATAGTTTCAATAGGTTGGATCTCGATCAATTATTTAGGCTCAAACCATTTGTTTAATCGATTCAACGATTTAAACTAGTTTGACAACCTTTCGCCATTTCCCTTTCCTCTTCATTTTTACTGCTGGAGATAATTATTAATCACAAATTACAATTAGTAATAGGGATATCATTATGGAGTGGATTGAATGATAAGTCAATTTAAGATAAAAATAAGTGCAATTTTTTTTATTAATTGGAGGCTAGAGAAGCCAAACGATAACACGCGCAGAAACTACGCAAACAAGGGAAACAGAGGATGCTAGCAGCAGAGCCTTAAAGTCAAATAATCACAAATCCCTGCCCCGAACGGATTGAAAACAAAAACTATCCGGTTTGCTGAACTTGCCGAGGGAAGCTAACACCAAGCACGTCCTCCCTTAGGATTCGGTCAAGATTCGGTGGGGGTCCTCTAATTCATACGTACCGAAGGTATAGACGAGAATGTGCTTCGAGCATGAAAAATAAGTGCAATTAAATTTGAAAAAGTGTTACATGTTCTAAATTGTTTTTGTTAAACCATGTCATACCAGCGTTCTAATTGGAGAAAAAAATCTATTAGATCTCAAATCAATAGAGGATTTTACTGATATGAAATATTTGAACAACGATTAAAAAATAAAATATCCTATTATTCACTTATCTTATCCAACAAACAGTATAATTCTATAATCATTGATCCTAAATATATTATAATCATCGACGTGACGACGTGAGTACGATAGTAAGAACTTGGGGTAATTTATCCAATTGATATATTAAATCCAAACCTTATCCACTTTTTTTGAAGAACGGAATTGGATATAATTTATCCACTAGATAAGATTTATTATTATTTATCAGTATTGAGATAATTTGGATGTGATTACTGACTAAATGAGATTTATTGTCTTAGCTTAAAATCTGGGTCAAGATGAATGCCAAAACTCTGTTTAGTTTAGTCAACTTAAAACCCTCTGTAATAGGGCTGGAGGTTCGGTTATCGGTTGTTGGTTAACCGGCCGGTTAGATCGATAATCGGCGGTTACTGGTTAACCGACTAACCGAAAATAATGTACGCGGGCGGAGCTCGGTAGGGATATTGGAGGTGGCGGTTAACCGGCTAACCGACGGATCTAACCGCCGGTTAACCGGCTAACCGACATGGCCAACCCCCATTCACAAAACGACGCCATCCACTTCCACTCTTCAGCGTTTCACCAAACGACGCCTGCCTAACCCTAATTCGCCTTCGAGGCTTCGACTTCGTCTTCCTTCCCCAATTTGCCGAATCGACTTCGTCCTTCCTTCCCTTCTCTGCATCGACGGCACCCACTCGGCGCCCAGCCACACAGTCCCCCGACGGCCGTCGTTGTTCCTCCGCCACCAGCACCAATCCCCACCGCCAGCGATAATCCCCCGCCGCAAACCCTCCGCCGACTCCATCTCGTCCCTCGACCTCCAATCCATCTCATTCTCTCTTCTTCCGAGGCAACAGCAGTAAGTCAGTAAGGGAAGTGAGGAGGGTGCAGGAATTGGAGAGGGAACGAAGGGAAATTACAGAGACAGGGTAGGGGAGGAATTTGAGCTGCTTGAGTTTGAAGTGATATTAAATAATTTATTTGGATATTAATTATATATGATACTTGGATTTGTACCAAATTCATGAAGTGATTTGTAAATACACGCCTAATTTATTACTTGTCATTTGTCAATTCAAAATACATATCCACAACTAGTGATTTGAAATTCCCTATAGCAAAAGATTAAACCTGTTTGTACAATTTCAAAATTTTAAGTACTATAGTGTAGGGCATAAAATATAAAGGTTCTAAAATGTAAGTTGATCACACAAAAATTTGGACCTCTTTGTTAAAAAATTCAAGTTTATGTACTAAATTCTAAGAAAAAATAAAATTTCATGCCAAAATGAAAATTCCAAAAATTTTAAGGTGACAAGAAAATTAAAAATTAAAAATAAAAGTAATAAAATCTGAAATACAAACAAAATAAGAAATGATCATCCAAACAAATATATGCATTATAAATACACAGCAAATAAAACTATCCAAATGCAACCTACAAAGTGCTAAATCAAATTGTGAAATTCATATTCTGGAGGACTGTCGTAATTTTTAATATAACTTAATCGATTAATTTTCATCTCAAAATTTTTAATTAAGAGATTCTCATTGTAAGATAAGCAATTCTCATTCTTGCCCTGTTGAGACAGCAATCAAAACAATTGTACGAGAGTCGAGATGGCAATAATCTGAATTATTTTCTTGATCTTATCTTTTGGCAAAGATTTTATATATCCAAGACTTAGCTGATTGGTAATATTTTCTCAACATATCATAAATCCAAATCGTATATTAAAATTGTAGCCTCCCTTGCTCTATACGTAGCTCGTACTGCTCATACTCCTGAAGAAACATCTTGAACTTGTTAACCTTCGCATCACTCAAAGTCACATGGCGCATTTTGTATCTAATAATTTATGCTCGTACTTGATATTGATTGCTCTTATATTATTTTAGAAATGAATCTCATAGCAGTAGCTCATTGCATTGGTTGTTAGTTAATTACTGTGCTTTGTTTACGGTCGCGATATGAGATTTTCAAACGTAATATCCAAACATGAGTGATCAGTTGTTAATTACATCCTGATAAATTTCTTAAAAAGGTATGATGATGATTAAAAGAAATAGCAAATTTTTTGTATTGAAAAGAAGCCCTCTCTCTAATCACAGAAATCGGGTTTCCCTGGAGTCTTGCTGTCTTCGATTGTTGTTTTTCCAGCGTCTTTTTGTTTATCTTGGTTAAAATTCTCTGTTTTTCATGTTCTGCCTTGATTTTTCTTTGGATGGGAGTTTTGCTAAATTGGCACACTCATTTTACAAATATGTGGTATTTGTATGACATTTATGTATTGATGTCATGTAATCATCACGTCACTCTCATCAAAATTAATTTTGAATTCTCCACTAAAATATAATATTTTTTTAATACGTTAAGTCTGTCGTTGAATTTAACAATCGTAAACATCGAAATTTATGGTAACAAGTAGTTAAGGTATCGTCTATATGGATCAATTCAGAAATGTTATTTTATAAAATGAGTCATGTATAATAATTCAATTCAAATTATCCATCTCCACTCCAGACAATTGGGAATTGTCATTAAATCGATCAATTCAAAATTTCTCATCCCGAATTGATCTGTCCAAATTTTCTGTTGATAAAAAAATCAATTTAATTATT